CCATTACTATTGGAGTTGTTCTCTAAAACAGAGCGGTTCAAATCCACTCCTTGCCCCCAAAACTAAAATATCTCCTTGATGGCTTCAGCTATCTAAACTTTCCAGATGAGCCCTGGGAAGCCCAGGTCATATGGTTTGGATTGGAATCCTTCTGGGGCTGGAGGTGTCGTTCACTAGGAGAGTGTTTGCCAAGCATGTGGACATCTTGGATTTCATCCCCAGCACCACATAACTGGGCATGGTTGTCGAACACACCTGCAATCACAGCCCTTGAGAAGAAAAGGCAGGAGAATCAAAAGTTCAAATTCATCCTTGGCTGCACAGGGAGTGTGTGGTCAGCCTGGGACTCTGTCTCAAACAAACAAACAAACAAACAACCTTCTTCAGCGCTCTTGGAAACCTCACCTTCTCCGGACTCTAGTCAAAGCTGATTCTCACACCTGCCTGAGCAGCCAACCCACTTTCCTGCATTTCACTCTTTCCCACCAGATGGATTGCTGCTCTTTCTGCCTTTTCAAAACTGTCACTCATTTCCCTTTTTCGGGTAACTTTGGTTCATATGTAAATGACCCTCCAAATGCTCCCTGGCTTGCTCAGGCTGGCTGAGCACTCCTTTCTTTCTGATTCTGAGACACTCCGTCTACCGTTCAGTCTCAGCAACAAACAGGAACACCTGGGTACGTACGCCTTTTCATGAGCCACCTCAGCACCACATATTTTTTAACACAATTTGTAGCAAATATTTACTGAATCAAACGGAGATACCAGAGCTCTAAGGAAGCAGCTCAGGATATGGAGGATGCTTACAGACTGTGTCGTTCAGTAGAAGTACCTGCTCTTAGATCAGAAGTCAAGTGCTGCTCTTTAAAGATACATGAAACGAACGTCGTTCCGTCGGGAAGGTGTGGCTTTGAATTGCTCCAGTTCTGGTGAGTGACACAGTAAACTCACAGCAGTACACAGGAGGGCGTTGCCTTGTTTTTTATTTTAGCTGTTTGTGAATGCACTGAGTGGGTGACAGACATCAGTTGCCTAATCACTAAAACTAAAGGGAAGCAGTTCAGTGCAAGCAGAGACCCATCACACTGCCTTCTGACGGTGGCCTCCGAGGGAGGCTCAGGACAGACGAGGCTCACTTTCTTTTCTCGCTCTATTTTCCCTCCTCCTCCCCTCCCCTCCACTGACAGCCTGCTTGGATGAGGAAGGTCTGTCAGCTATATGTATTTACTTATTAAGCGCTTACCTAATTAGTCCTGAATATGATCATGGGTGTTGGGGTTGGACCAGGAATGCAGAATACGAGTCAAAGCCAGAAACGGAGCCTCTAACTTCTCCACTGGAAACCCTGAAGTCTGTACAAGTGTTTAAACTGGAACTGACAGCAACCTGTAGGCAAGGCTGCAGCCAAAGAAGGAACTCAAACCCCCTCCCTAGTACTTCACCAGGGGCATGGGGCCCAACGTTCACCTTGAATGCACCTGGGCAAATTCAGAGCCTGACACTGGGTTCCCTCATGACCTCTGCCAACTAATCAGTCAAAAGCTTTCCAGATCTGGAGCTTACTCCATAGACTGGGCCCATGCCCAGAACAGCAAGTGACTCCAACCAGTAGGAAAGCTTGCCCAGGTGCCAGGGAGAGACTTCACATCTGACTGACATATGGGCTCTGAATTTTCTCTTCTCACAGCTTGAGGTCATGAAGAGGGAGCATGTAGGGTGGAATGTTCGATTCGTCTACACAGCCTAGGGGATTTGGTTTAAATCAAATCATAATTACAACACCAGCCAGGAAAACAGGCATGATTTTTTTTCCTGTACCTTTTTTCTTGTATATGACCTTAAATATATGTCGGGCACAATAAGAGTAAGTATCAGTTTTGCTTTTGGAAATTGTAAATTCTCACATATAACAGTTCACTTATGTTATAAAATTAACAGGAAGTTAGCTAAATCAGTAAGTTAAATAATAGTTTAATGATTCCTATTTGTTGAATAAAGCACGTAACATTGCACTGGGAAAAACTAAATTTCCTTCTTTCCGGTTATTTTGTTGATAATTGTAGCATTCTGTGGAGTGTTCCTAGAGGTTTCTTACCCTGGGTTTAAATGTCCCTCACTTTTGTGCTCCCCTAAATGTTCTGTTGCTAAGGAACACACACACACACACACA